CTTATTTAACTCCATTATGCCTTTGTAAGCCCTCTGAACCCAACAATGGCATCCACTGAGTGCCATAAGATACATTCTATGGAGACTCATAGGTGCCGCGTTTCTTTGGCAACCTTGGAATAGCCTCCCATTTGAAGGGCTCCTACAGTTTCAGTCTTCTGGAAACTACAGGTAGTCCTTGCTTACCAACCGCTTGTTCAGTAACCATTTGAAGCTACGATGGTGCTGAAAACGTAGGTTTACTACTGGTCCTCGAACCTGCGGCCATCACAGCATCCCTGCGGTCACATGATCGCCATTTGGGCACTTCGCAACTGGTGCAAATTACAACGGTTGCAGCATCCCACGATCACGTGATTGCCATTTGTGAGCTTCCCTGCTGGCTTCCAACAAGCAAAGTCAACAGGAATGCCAGCAGTAAGTTGCAAGTCGTGGTCACATGTTTCACTTAACAACCTACAATGATTCGCTTAATTACTGCAGCAGAGTTGATGTTATAAATCCGGCATGGTCACAAGATGTTTCACTTAATGACCTCATGACCTTAGTGATGGCATTGCTGGTCCCAATTACAGTCAGTAAGTGAGGACTACCTATATTGCAAATGGAGTTGTTTTGAAAGGCTACAATAATGCTTAGTGTCTAGGATGGATGGCTTTAACTATGGTCTTATGTTTCTTGGCTTTTTTGGTGCCTTCAAGTCAGTCTTGTCTCCCAGGAAACAGCCTGGACAAATCCATAGCGTTTTCTGGGCAAGATTTTCAGAATTAGTTTGCTCTTGCCTTTTTCCTAGGACTGAGAGAAGTAATTGATGCACAGTCACCCAGCTGGCTTTGTGTCTAAAGTATGTCTAGACACAGTCTCCCAGTTTCTAGCTTGGCACCTTAAACCACTACACCAAAATGGTTCTTTTTATGATTTTACAACTATATAATTTTTTCACCATGGACATTTTATTTTTATGTCTACATTACTATAAACCACCAAGAGTCTTAGGATTGTGGCAGGTAATAAATCCAAGAAACAAGAAACCATTTCAACCTCTTTACTCAGGAGTTTCATTAAATTCAGTAAGGCTTATTTCCAAAGAATATGCATAGCCATAAATATACATTTCTTAGGATAACTAATTTAATGTACAACTTAAAGTGAACTGTATTGCTACATATTTATTATGTTGGTACTATATTATGTTGATCTTTAACTTTGCAACAATCTCCACTTTTCTGTTTCTCATCCAAAACCCCTATTGCTGAATTATTTTAGCCTCACTATACCTGCATTTCATATGCCTTTCTTTCCTTTACAATCAGTTCCTAATCAGTTCCTGACAGCTTTCTAATACCCCAATCTTGCATCTTAGTTTTATATTACTTATGGTATGATAACATCCTTGCTCACTATGTTCTTAAAATATCTGATTAACACATAGGTGTCTAATCATCTAGGTGCCTAATGGGCATGTAAAGTTGCCCTAATAACAAAGGAATGGACTGTAGGATAAGTGATATTCTCCTCACACAAAGGGATACTCAGCAAAACTGATATAGGTGCCCAAGAAGGAAGTAACCATACATTAAAGAACTAGAAAGACCACCAATCCCCCAACACTGTATATAAATTTCATAAAAAGCAAGAGGAATGTTTACATAAAACCTTTCAGAACAATTCATAACTTTACAACCATATTACTTTTCCTTTTGTGTTACATACATTCAGCTTGTAACTGTTACTATAAATATTATTTTCTTCTGGGAAAGAATCCACAATGCAACATTAAAATAAGATAAAAAGAACAATCCTGCTGAGTATTTAAGGAAATGAACACATGGGACTCAGGAACAAACAACAGAGTCCAGAAATGGTAATGATAATACCAGACCAAAATGCAGTGGAAAGTACATAAGAGTTTTTCAGAATATCAGTATCAAGTATATTCTATTCTTTTATTTATTTAGAATTATATGCCACCCAACTAATCTAACTGAAACCTAAAAAAAGAACATATCTCAGTAAAAAGCATATGACATTAATAAAACCAGATCCATCAGCCAATATTTTCTTAACAACCATGAGAACTAGAGAGTTAGGCTGCGATTCTAATGTTCACTTGGAACTCAGTTTCATTGTATTGGTTAAAACTTATATCTAAGTGGATGTGCAAAGGATTACATTGTTAGTTGCATAAATGCACCAAATAAAAAATGAGACACCAAAAGCAGTCAACATGTTTCTTCATGCTTCCAGCATGCTTCCACCTTGCTACAGGCATAGAAAGAAAATGGGAATTGCTTACTTATTTTATACATATTCCTGATCAGCAGTGTTCTAGTATGCCTATGAAGGTCAAAGCTACAGTTCTGTTTTGTATCAGTGATGAGCATAATATTTATTTAAATCACTGTTATACCACTCTTCTATCAAAAAAGCTTCAAGATTTTGTAAAAGATGAAAATCACTTTCATTTCATTAATTTCTTCTAATTCCTTTAAAAATGCTATATAATTTTTATTTAGCATCTAAGAAATTATCCTTATCTCATCACTTACCCTACTAGTCAGCTCTCGACTGTTGACGACTCTGACATGATTGGCCAGCTTAGTGATGTCTTTGCCATTCAACTGACGGAGATTTCGCAAAAGAAACATAGCCTTATAATCATCATTGGTCTAGAGAGGAAAAGAGTAGTCTTGTCTTGAAAGAATCCTTGAAACCAAAATCTTTATGTGATAAGCCCTGTAGTCCAACTCAGTGCAACACTGCCATCTACTGCCATCTAGAGCGTCTTAGATTCAGCACCCTGAATTTACAATGATCCAGTTGGTCTGAATTGATTAGTTCCTTAGTGAAGAAATTTCAGGACTGTTAAGAAGGTAGGATCAACCTAGAAGGAGATGGTTTAAAAAGCTCTCCTCCCTGCAGATTCTGTTTCAGTTATAACCTTTTTTCTACAGAATCATAACAAAAAGGACCTCAACCATCAGAACTTGCCTTTCAAATCAAACATTTTATATAAATTATCCATATTTAAGTGTATACTCATCAAAGACTCTCAAATTAGTTGGTGTTGGATATTTCAAAACTTTCTCTGAAAAATTCTCAGTCTTTTTAAAGAACTTAATATAGCAGCTATTCTTAGAAAGTGATAAAAGTATTTTAATTGTTTAAACTGTTTTATTTATTTATTATTTATTTATTCAGTTTATATAGTTGCCCGTCTCAGACCAGTGACTTCAGTGGTTTTAGCTTCATTTACATCCTGAAATCAGTAAATGACATTTCACAATAATAATTTAATGGGTCTTGAGAAGGCAGTGGTCGCTGAGATCTTATGTTCAGATAAAACTGGAAGTGGCCATTTCATACCTTCACTTCTTTCACATCAAGGAGAGAATGGGGACTTCAACTTTTCACCTTAACTTAGATATATATTTAGAGGCAACTGAACGGGTACAATTGAAAATCAATCAGGACTGAGTTAAGCTTGCATTTTAAAATCTGTATTTTCAGGCAATTCATATACTTTCATACTGTATGTTTGAAATCAAATGTAATATATCAGATTCCATTTTTTTCTTTATTTAAATTTTGAGCTACAACTCTGTAATGTGATGGCAATGTTGTTAGGAATAAATGATGAGCCACTGCATCTTAAATAAATCATACATTTCACTGAGGATATATGATGAAACTAGAGAATGTTCAACAACCCCAAACTGGGCAGAATTTCCTTTACTCTGGGACATCAAGGTATTACAATTATCACTATTCTTACTGCAATCCTCCAGGTGTATGAGGATGACAGTGTTCCAAGAAGTGGTTGCAAGACCTAGAACTTCTACGGGCTGCCAGATATACTCACTGTCAGGTATGTATTGTTGGTATAGGTAAGCTCCTCCAGCTGTGGAAACTGCTGCAGGGCTGTCACATCTTCCAGGTAATTGTTGTTACAGTTTAGGATGCGGAGGTTTGGCAAACTGAGATTGTCAGGAAGCCGTTCTAAGAGATTGTCAGAGAGATCAAGTTCCTGGAGATGGCGAAGATGAGAGAATAACTGTGGTTCCAAATCTTCTGTGGTTATTTGCAATCTGGACAGGCTGGAGGGGGAAAAGATTCCATATACTACTGATCCTCATACCATCCATATTTTGAAACATTTTGTTCTACATCAAAAATCCAAAGAACAGAAACATCAGGCTCTCTGAGATGAAAAACATATACAGGTAGTCCTCACTTAACAATACTAATTGGGACCAGAAACTCTGTTGCTGAGTGATGCGGTCATTAAGTGAGGACCCCACATGATTGCAATGACTTACAACAATATTTTTTTGGTGGTCGTTTAGTGAGGACCACATAAGTTGTTAAGCAAGGACTTCACATGACCACATCTCACAACTTCCTGCTGGTTTCCCCATTGACTTTGCTTGTTGGAGGCTGGCAAGGAAGGTCGCAAATGGTGAACATATGACTGCAAGACACTGCAACAGTTGGAAATGCAGGTCAGTCACCAAGCGCCCGAATTTCGATTCACATGATCACAGAGACACTGTGATGGTGGTACATGCGAGCAACGGTTGTAGGTACCACTCATTCAGCACTGTCATAATTTCTAATGGTCAGTGGTTGTTAAGGGAGGACTACCTGTATTGTCTCTCATAGACTCATACAGGCAGTCCCTGGGTTAAGAACATCTGAGTTACAGACAACTCATACTTACAAACAGGCTGCCTGTTGTTAAAAATGGCAAACAATGTGATGTTTTCATGAACCGTTGAAGCCATAGATTTTTAATATACAGCCTGTTTCAGAGGTTCCTGAAAACATTGCGCATCTTCAGCGGCTCATTGGCTCGAGGAAGAAGAACGACATCTGCCATTTTTAATAACAGGCAGCCCATTCTTAAGTACGAGTTCCGACTTACAAAGAAATTTGAGTTAGACTTAGGAACTGAACTTGTTCTTAACCCAAGGACTGCCTGTATTTTACTTACCAGTTAATTTGTAACTAGACAGGATCCTATCCTAAATTTCCAATAATAAATTTTCATTGAATACATAATTAACATATTTATTTAAAATCCATTATTAATTTAATAATTCACTGTTGATATAATAGACTATTATCTACATTTTATAATTTGAAGACCTTCCAGTTGCTTTTCAGAGGAATTTCAGGAATAGGAGTGGGATAAGAATTATACTTAAGTCCATTTTTTTTTTTTGAATCATCCCACTAATTAGTCTGGAAAACAGATGGGGAAATGAGATGGTTAGATGTGGCACTGCTGTTGTTGAGTAAAATTTGGTTACAGAGTGTAGTATCAGCCTCAAATTGAAAGTTGTCATGATTGTTGTTGGTCCTGTTATTTCTTTATATATTTCTTTAAGTTTATTTAAATAATTTATTTGGCCGCATACCTCACCACAGTGATTCTGGGTGGCACACAAAATTAATATCCAACAACAAAATTTAAGACTAATATTATGTTCAGTTTTGTACTTCTGTGATTTAGATTAACTCCATGCACTTTACTCTGTAGTTGGGGTTTTGGGGAGGAAAGAGGAGGCGGCTAGAATTACAACTGAATTTGCTGTAAAGATTGAGAAAACCAAGTGACTAAGATTAATGCTGTATGGATTTTCTTCTTCTTAAAAGCCAGATTTGTAGAGTTCTATATACACATACGCACACTTACTTCAATGTTTTGATCTTTCGTAGCCTTGTAGATTTGGGCACTGCTCTTTCCAACAGAAGTTCTGTAGTTATTTTGGACATATTTATTCCCTTCCAATGTTCTGTAGATCCAAAGGTATCTTTAGTCTTTCTGAAATGCTCCTAATAAAAGAACAACAGTTAAGAGAATTGTTTAGACATTGTTCCAATGTTGCAGATCATGGAAATAATTGCTCAGGCAGTGGTACAGTTGTAGTAGAGGGATTCCATCTCCTTATCTTCTTTAGAAATCTTGGCCTGAAATGCAGGTTGGAGGCAATCTAAAAAGTGTAGCTTGGGTTTCTCCTGAGATGGAAGACCCTGAGGTATGGAGTAATTTATACATGCCAGTTTAAGATGCCAAGATCCGTCAAACAATTTCTTATTTAATTTTGGGATTCTGACTTGCAGTTTTATTTGAGAAAAATCGTCCCGTAGGAAATAAGGTGTCTCCTCCAGCAGTTGGTCTCCTATTGGCTATGTTTTCGTGAAGTTCTGACCACTCTTCTACCTCAGAGTTATTGTGACAAGTTACATTACTTCTTTTTTTCCTGCCTTTCTTAAGATGCTTTATGCCAATTCTTTATTTTCTTTAGGTTTCTCAATTTCAGATCTCTGTTAGATAGTTCAATTTTTAAAAATTCAGTTTACCATTTGTTCTAAGTCATTTGTTGATCACAGTATTCTTGGGTAAGCATTTTGGTATTGGTGCTAAACTGAGAATCTCTCTGAACTGCTTTAGGGTTTGTCACCTATAAACAAAGTTTCTCTCCCCTCCCTCCTGGGATTGCTTCTTTATAAGGGCTGCTTCTGAGAGGATAATAAAACAGTTTCATTCACATCCCTCCCCCCCAAAAAAGCTGAACTCACATTCAGCCATATAAGCCCTAAATTAAGGGCATTTCAGTATTCCAATTTTGATCAGCTTCCTAATGTTAGCTTGTTGGATTCTAGTAAGTTGCTGACTGGTGGGAAGAACTGGACAGTAAATCATTCTCAAGGGAGTTAACTCTGTTGTTATAGCTTCCAGGCTATCATCAGCTGGAGTCTTGGGCATATTATAAGAGGCATGACATCAATATCAAAGGTATTATATCAGGAAGTTCAGCTAACTCAGAGGCTAAATTATACCCAGGCACCTCTGGCTCTGTTATACTCAGATCTGGTAAGGGCCATCATACAGCTGCTGTTTACTGTTGTCCCCCCCCCCCCCCATATGAAATAGGGAAGGATAATCATTCACTTACTAAGATTTCTTTCAGTATTACTTATTGTCAATATTAAGCCTTGTTCATGAGTTCTTTCTTTGTGTGGAAGAATTCATTCAGTCCCACTGTGTCAGGCCATAATCATCTGGCTGCCAGTAAGTAAATTAGGTCTTCAAAGCAGAGCAATAGCCAGAAGGAAAAAAGGAAAGATATATTCCAAAGAGAATATCCCAGAGAGGGATAAACAGATCTTCACTTCAGGAGCAAAAACCTTATCCAGTCCTGTGAAAACAGGCTGAACCTAAAAGCATATTACTTCCCTTTCAGCACTACTCCCAATTACTCCCAACTGTCATGGGGGTGCGGAAAGGGATATTATTTCTTCCTTGCCCCACTAATTTTAAGCCATAACCACACTTACAATTTCAGTGTGCTCCTTGGCATACAAAAAGTTCAGCCAGCCAAACTTTTAATGATCAGGCAAGGACTTTTAAAAAAATTTCTATCCCTTTTAATAGATATTGTTGGTGGGGTGGATAAGGGGGAAATAGGTCCTTTAAGCTTTGCAGAGACTTAAAGATACTCATTTGTTCCTTAATCCCCCTATAGTGGCCAAATGGTTAAGCTGGGGGAGTTGTAAAGCCATCAAAGGGATGCTGGGAGTCAAGAGTGGCCAACAGGTGGATTTCCTCACCTGGTGTTATCATTTGATGTTCCTTGGATACACAGTTGGCATCTTACAAAACTGAGCAACGCTGATTTTGATTTTCACTGAAAACACAAAGTAGTAAGTTACTGAAAAAACACCACTATTGTGTTTTTATGTTTTTATTTATTTATTCTAGATCATTTGTATCTTCCCCATTTTAGACAAGCTGCACTGCCAGAAGGAAAAGAGCTCTCAGTTATTCAAGACAAAGGCTGAAATGTCTGATACATAAAAACATTAAAGAGTTCTTTATTACACATGTAGCTTATTTCCATGCTGAAAATGTGAATTCTATAAAAACCATTTAGTTAATTTTCTTGTGTACATAAGCAGGGATCCTCAACATCAATAGATATCGCCCTTGGCACACACCAGACTTAATGCATTCTTTAAAAGTCATTAGTATTTTTATGTATATATTTATCTGGGAGGCAATGTAAATACTGCCTCCAGTGTCATATTTCCATGAATGCTTCTAATTCATTTTTTTTTATGTGACTGCACTTCAATATCTTGTTTTGAAGCACACACAGTTGCCTATAACAAGGCAAAATGTAAATAGTACAGTACGACAGTAAGGAGCACCATAGGAATCAGGAGCTGTTTTGCCTATGCTGCATTATTTTTTGCCAGTTTGTGGAGATCCTGCAGTGAGCTAGAAGCAATTTATGATTGAACAAGGGAAAACAACAATTGCCTCAATCTATGCTCCAAATGATAATAAAACAAAATTTTATGAAAAAAAATCCAATCACTTCTTGAAATTGCAGAAAAGGATGTTCTAGTTTTTGGAATTTTCTCTTTGAACTTAGACAAACCTGGATTATGAAAAAAGATCTCTGGTAAATGTCCAAAAATGTTCTAGATTACATGTCATCGTTCTCCCTCTTAGATGCACAGAGCCACAAGCACCCTATAGAATGTCAGATTCAACCGGCGCGGCACGGCTAGGGACTTGCCCAGCCACGCTTAGTCAGTTTCACTGCCCGAGCGCTAGCAGAGGAAAAGGGTAAGTGAGAAACTGTGAACTGATTAATGGGCCAGCTGGCGCCACTTAATTAAACCACAAGAAGATATTTTGTGTCAATGCCAATTTGCCTTGGGCGCTGCAGACAAAGGGGAGCGCAGCGGCTCAGAGGCAAAGCAATCAGCATGTAATTGAGAACTCCCAGCTTTGCGTGCAACAGAAAGACCCAACGAAGACAACAACCACGCCATCGATAAAAAGCAATCAAGAACACAAAAGAACTAGACTGAATCTGCCATTTGAGTGAGGGAGGGATTACTGCGGGTAATCTGTACCAAGCAACGGGGGCTAAGCACGGGAACGGGGGGAACTATAAATTGTGCTGGGGGGGAACTATAAATTGTGCTGTAACATGTGCCAAGCCAATCCTGGCTTTGTCTGTACTTACTACGTTATGCTTGAGTAAACTTCTTTGCTGAACACATGTGTCATGAGAGTTTCTCTGAGACGAACGGGGTAAACCTTACATAAAGCCAAGATTCACCTTTGAACGCTACCCGGTACACACCGAGGAGTGCTCACCTTTTCCCTTGTAGCCAGAACCTGAGAGGACCCGATTGACGGCACCAGGAGATGGCCAGCAATGGAGAAGGTGCGAGTCAGCGGGGCAATGAGGAGCCCAGACCCGAAGGCGCGATGGCGGGACCGGCCCAGAGTGAGGGGCACAGGGACGCAGCCGAGAGGGTGCCAGAGGACGCCAGGTGGTCGTTTGACGTGGGCATGGGCCCTGACAGGTCAGCAGGATGGGGGGGGTCACGACAAGCTGTGGCTCGGGATCCAAGACCCGGGAGCTGGAGGAACCTCTAACCCGGCTGGAGGCCAATTTCGAGTAGCGAATGGACGCCATCCAGATGATGCTGCAGGCCATACTTCGGGGGGGCGAGGCCCCTACAGCAGAGACGCAGGCAGAGGAGGAATCAGGCGATGCCAGCGGCGGTCCTGTGGCCCAGCTGACTCCGGGGACATACCTCGGAGCAGGAGATTGATGGGCGGCAGACGCACTGAGGCTCCGGGGTCTGGCCGGGAAATTCTCAGGGGACCCTGAACAACTACCCTGCTTCCTGACGCAGGTGCGGAACTTCATGAAGCGGAGTGGCCACCTATTCGCTGACAATGAGGGGCGAGTCGCCTACGCGGCTGAATTGTTGGAGGGTCAAGCAGCCAGTTGGGTCATCTGCCTGTACGATACCAACGTGGCAGAGCTAAAGAGTTTCCCGGAGTTCATGCAGGCACTCCAGGATAGATTCAAGGACACACTGAGCGCCAGGTGGGCCAGAGACGACATCCAACGCCTGAGGCAGAGGGAAAAGTTGGTGGCCGAGTATGCCCTAGAGTTCCGCGCCTCGCAGAAAAACTTACCAATTGGCCAGAGTCTCTGAGGGTAGACTACTTCAAAAACGGCCTCAATTTGGAGGTCCTTGCGAGGGCGTTTGGTTGGGACAACCCGACCACACTAAAAGAGTGGATCTGCCTGGCCGGGACGGCAGAGGCGGCGTGGCAGCAGATCAAGCGGAGAACGAGGAACCTGAAGCCAAGTAAAGACGAGTCAGGTGAGGCGGCTGCGGAGGAGAAGCGGAGCAGCTGACGGCAACCCGCGGGAGGACGGGAGGCTCCGAAGAAATCTAGCCTCTGTTTCTGGTGCGGGGGGTGAGGCCATCAGGCAGCGCAATGCCCAATGGAGCGGGATGGGGCCCCACCCCGGGTAGATGCTGGGGCCCTGAAGACCCCGGGACGGCATGCCCCTGACTGACCACGAAAAGGGGTCGGGGCAGTGGCAGCAGAGCGCAGTGGGACCGGTTGGTCCACTCCTGAGACGGTGTCATCAGGGTAAGAGGCGGCGCCGGCAGGAAACGAGTGGCGCCCGCATTGAATGGCGTCCCAGTACGTGCAGAGGAGCTAAGACGTGCAGATCCAATAGCAGACGAGGATTGCCATCCCATGCAGGTGAGGGTACATATCCTTGGGGTGAGGTCAGGGGCTGACGCACGATTGCAGGTGCTACTAGACTCCGGGTGCATCCACTGCCTGATACACCCGGCGCTAGTATCGGGGCTGGGTCTCCAGGTGCGGAGACTCAGGGAGCCCATTGCTTTCAGTCAGGTTGACAGCTCACTTGCGGGGGGGGGGGCGGCTCAGTACTAAACCAAGCCAGTCCAAATGACGATCGGGGACCATCAAGAAGAGCTGCGGTTCGTGGTGGTCCCGATAGCCAACTACGCGATGATACTTGGCCTGGTGTGGCTGAGACGATGGAACCCCCTCGTTGACTGGGTGTCGGAGGCGCTGCGATTCAGAGACGCGGAGGAGCGGGAGCGAGACTGCCAGAAGCGACGATGGGTGACGACGAGGGGAGGAGTAGTCACGGAGGAGAAATCAGAGGAGCTGGAACATCCAGCGCGGGGAGGTGAGCGAACCATGATGGGAGCCACAGCAGTGGCAGTGGCGATCCTGGGGCCTCACAAGGCAGTGGTGGCATCGGACCTGAGGGGCCCTAACACAGCGGCAACCCACAAGGCAGCTGCAGTGGGCGGTTCCGCGACGGGGGAGCCGGCGGAGCCAGAGAGCGTCGAGAGCATCCCTCACCAGTACCAGGACTTGACAGTAGCATTTGGTGAGGAGTCGGATCAACTCCCACCCCACAGACCTAGTGACTGTGCCATCGAGCTAGCGCTGGGGGCCAAGTTACCCAAGCTGAAGATGTACTCCCTCTCGGGAAGGAGATGGGCGCCCTTTGGGAGTTTGTGGACAAGAATTTAGCGCGGGGTTTTATCCAGCCTGCGAAGTTCCCACTGGCGGCCCCGGTGTTGTTCCGGGAAAAGAAGGACGGCTCGCTCCGAATGTGCGTAGGCTTTCAGGGGCTGAACACCATAAGTACAGAATACAACTACCCTCTCCCCTTGATGAAGGACTTGTTATCCCACCTGTCCAAGGGGAAGATATTCACGAAACTGGACTTGCGAGAGGCGTACTTCAGGGTCAGGATCCGCGCTGGAGATGAATGGAAGACGGCTTTCAATTGCCCGCTTGGAAGTTTCCAATTCCGTGTGATGCCGTTCGGGTTAAAAGGGGGCTGTGAGAGGAAAATTATTAGTAGCCTTCTATATGTTTTAATGTTAGTTTTAAATGCATTTAATAAAGCCAAGTTAT